GTGCGTTTCCGGTCAAGAATAAAGGAAAAGGAGGATTATACAAAGAACTGATAGAGGCGATATAAACGAACGATATTAGCATATGTCGCAATGGCTGACGGCTGCGATTACCGGGGCTCGTCAAACATGTCGATTCGGACACTTCACAAAGAAGTGCGTACATTGGCAAAATGTTACAGGCCAGATATCACGGATTTGTTACCTCTGATGGTGCCTTTATTATTTATACATTTCTGTTACTTTGTGTTCCTTTCTCACCAGATGCGGCATTCATTTATTAGATAAATCAACCAAGATTTGTCATCTTCGCGGCTGTGCTGATACACGAAAGGAACATGGCACATTTCCTTTTCGCCTGTAAAACACAACATCCAAAAGACACTCATTTTGGCTCAAAAATTAGTTCTATTACTAAGAGGCAAAAATATACATTATAACACTGTGAAGCTAGAGGCTTTACTGAGACTTGAAACAGGAAACTGATTTTTGTTTTGCTTATTTTGGTTTTTACTTTTTTATTTCATACAATAATTGACAAAGTTAAGTGGACAGACAAAAACTTTGCAAAATTGTTCGTCGTCCTTTAAGTTATGTAGATGTCCTGTATTTTTTCCGTTACGCTTACACAGTATACTTAGACCTCTTCCGAAGGCCAAATATCGAGCCCAGGGTCATTTTAATTCCTTGCCAGCGGAAGGGCTCGAGGCGGTAATTCACAAAGCGGGAATGTCAGAAGAGGGAATGAATTGCAGCTTGTTTATTATGGAAATTCGCTCCATATGTGACACATGAAGGGCATTTCCACCCGAGATATGAAAGAAATATAATAGTTATGAGACTTTACATTCGTAACAAAGTGAAATACGACCCATCCAATGCTGGAAAGCCGTTAATATTTGTCGAATTCCCAGATCCGCGCGCGTTCACCGTAGGCCAAGTGAAAGAGGTAAGCGTGACAGAGTATCCTTCATGTTGTTTTAATCCAAGTACGAGCCCAAAACAGCTGATTTGAAGTTTGCAAAATTTAATTCGTTGTTGGATCGTTGAGCAAAGTGCCTCGTTACGTTCAGAACCAAAGCGTACCTGTTTTTATGGAGCAAAAAAATGCATAAAATCCAAAAGCTGGAGGATTTTGCCACCGGAATCAATTTGTTGCCTGAGGGTAGTCTCTCGAACGTTCTAGTTATGTAGAGTCAGCTATGCTATTGGTAGTCAGCAACTGGTTTGAATGTGGGAGTAACATTAGTTTTTGGGGTTTCATTATCTGATTGAAAGTAGTCCAGAGAAGTAATTTTGTTAATAGAGGTGACTGACATTTTGATAACCTCAGTGTAAGTTGTCATCAGAGTCGTGTGAAGAGTTGTTGTCAGTTGAGTGTTATATGGCTGGTTTGTGTAAACTAATTGGTCTGTTAATCTGCGATGTTGTTGGCTGTGAAACTAATGTAAAGTAGTGTAAACAGGTTGTTATTGTTAGGGATTGTTATCTCTTCTCCTGGATGTACATTGTAGGTACAAATTAAATTTATTTTGCAGAAGTCAGAAATACCTGTGGAGATGATACCATTTCACACTTTTTGTTTCGTACTCTCAGGAATTCAAAAAGAAAGCCAGAGCAGCCAGAATAGACTCCTTATACCTCCGTCAAGATGATGGTTCTTATGAGGTTTTAGCAGATGACAGGTAAGATTTTTTCTAATTTAGGTGACTTCAATATTTTGTTGTAGTGGAAAACTACTATGGTCACAAAAGCTTCTGCATAATGGCAACTTGAGAAATAATAGGAAGCAAATTAAAAACAGTTTTCAATGTTATAAAGCACCTTTAGTGTTGTGGATGAATGCTACAGAGATTTTTTATTTATTACTTTGACAATGATCACGCAAAATTCCAATCATCATTTATTGACAATTTCTTGTGAATATAGTAAACTGCCTTAACAAGACTGCATCAGTAATTCTCCTTACTGTCTGCCATACCGTTCTTATGCTGTTAGTTTGGAGAATTTGGTATTGGATCTATTTATAATTCCCTAATTGATATTTTTCGTCATTCTCATCACTTGTCTGCTTGATATTGTATTGATATTGTAAGGAGAAATTCCATGTTGGTCACTCATGGGAGTTAAAGGGTTAAGTTATAAGAGTGCAAGGGAACCATAAAGGAAAGCTCTAAGAGGAAACCTTGTGAGTCAATACTGAATGTCCTATCAGTTTACATGTAAGAAAATTATTTTTTTAAAAGGACTGTGGGCTTCTACAATATACAAAATAATGCTGTTTTGGAAACAACAAGCAATCCTTTTTGGGCTTCAACAATCTACTACAGACTGCGAGAGGTGGAAAAAGAACATGGTGGTGCAAATCTCACAGATGATCTAAGAGCAAGTAGAGGATTGGAACAGTCTTCCATCCAGAAGTATATGGCCTTAGGGATCCTCTTCAATGGAGGAAACAAGTAAGTCAGAATTTTCTTTTTTTTCAAGAGAGCTTCTCTCGTGTTATGCCAAAGTGAGGATGTTGTTCCCTCAGAAATGGTGAATGTATCAAGCTCTTGGTGAAAAATATTAGAGGAAAACAAACCAAATTTTCTGGCAACATTTTAGCTCATATTGCCATCGTCACTTCTTAATTACTCTCTAACAACTTAACTGGACTACTGCAACCCTATACATGTAATTAAGTAAGATATTGTGTTTCTCCTTTAGTCGAACACGGCAACAACCTCCATACTTTGAAGAGGTAGATCAGTTATTTGATCACCTTCAAACAGCTGGAAAAAAGCCAGTTCACATGTCACAGCAAACCTTGGCCACATTGCAGCAGCTGAAAGATGAGTATGAACAGAATGATGTCAATGAAAAGGATTCCATTGGCCACTTTGTTCAAAGACAGGCTTTGAAATTAGGACTTGTTTCAAGTAAGACACTAAATCTATGGTGAAAGGTTTGCAAAATTATCGTTAAATAATTCATTGCATGTGAAATACATGGAATGATTCATTGATATCAGTCTGCTTTTCAGTTGTGACTTACCATTAGTGTGTTAGATAGTTTCAAGTTATGTAACCTGCTGAATTGAATTACGCTTGCTTAGCAAGCATGGTATGTTAAGCAACAGACCCTTCTAGGGGGTCCAAGTCATGCTCCCCCCTAAAAATAAAACAATTTGAGTCTCTCTGGAATGTAATATCCAGCATTTTTGGAAATATTTGAATGACAAACATGTTTCAGCCAGACACTGTTGTAAGAATTTTAAAAATAGTGATTTTGTGTTGCTGACCACAATTCACAAAGTAGCAGGCAAAAAAAGGGTCTGACAGCTGGCAGGAATCTGCTGTGTGCCACCTTCTATATGTAATAACATCCCTGATTAAAGGCATCCATCTGAGACAGTGCTATATGTGTGGAAGAAACATAAGAGACACTAACCAAGATAAAATTTAGAAGGTTTCTGTACAGCTGCTTTCAAGTTAGTAAAATGTGCAGTTCTTTTTGTTGTCTTCCCTAATAGAAGAATCACTTCAAAATGGTGATGAGTGCAGTGGAAACAATTTAGAAGGAAATGGACAAGTTGTGGGTGCAGTTCAGAGGTAAGTAAAGCTGTAACAGAAACATTTTCTCCACTTGTTAGAAATTCTGTCAGCATTTGTGCATGTACCTCATTTCTTTCCATATGATTACAACAGGGGTGGCAGAAATAAGGCTAACAACAGAGGGAGAAGAGTCAATGGGGCAGGAAAGGTGGGAAGAAGAGCTCCACAGAGGCAGCGAATGTGTGGAGACTGTGAAGAAAATGTGGCTACTCTGTTCTGTGCTGACTGTCAGCCATCCCTGGTGCTCTGTGATGACTGTGCAGTTGTGCTTCACAGGGGTGCAACTAGAAGAAACCACCACTTGAAGGGTGAGTTGTCGTTGCTTGGTGTAGTGTGTCTCATGCCATGCATAAAATATTGCAAGCTTAAAAATTCTATGAAGATCCAATTTTACACCACCCATCCTTTATGATAATGCTTGTTATGGTATAATGCTTTTGGTTACATTTGGAAGAATGCTGCATTTTCATTAGAGTCCTCAGCTTCAGAGTAGTGATCTGATTTCAGGCTGCTTCATATACCACTGTTGTTAATTAATGCACTCCTGCTTGCCAAAGTTAAGGTTTTCACTTTACATTTCCCCCCAGGCTGATAAAGAAAAAAGTTGTCAACTTGTTCCATTTGTTGTTGATTAGAGCAGCATTTCATGAGACTATTTGAGCTATATCTGTGTCATCTTTCTGTTTTGTTAGATGTAATAGAAGCACCAGCCCCGAGCAAAGGCTATACCCCTAAAGTGAGTGCAGTTATTATTTTGAAAGTCATTTTTGCATTGCCTCATAACATACTCAAAATCTTGATAAACTGGACAAGTCTTCCACTTATATTGTGATGTAGTATAGCTGTGAGTTTTTTCTCGAAACTTCTGCATTGGTCTGAAAATTGCCTGTCAGATTTAATTGCTTATTATAACCACTACCTCTTTCAAACAGTTGGTAGATGTTTTTCATTGGGAAATAAGGCATAATAATTATTTGGAATTTGCAGGAGATAACTTTTTTAAAGTAGCATATTAACATACTAAATATATAAGGTGCTGAGTGGACTACACAGACATGTCAACAATAAATTAATGCAATTTGCAAGAGATATAGTGAGCAACTGGTTGTATTTTCACATCCGACTGTTTTATTTATTAGTGTGAATAGAAATATGCTCTCATACTCAGAAATAATAATGCTTAATCTTTTAGGCCTACAGAGCACCATTTGCTATGTTGGTTGCATTTCACAGGTATGTGATAATTGTAGCTGTTGAGTAAGAAGTTAAAGAAAGTGTAAATAATGTTTAGGTTCATCAAAGTAATTAGAATTTCTCATTGTCCCAACAGGGCTGCCAATGAAGTTCACAGCAAAATGAGTTTGACTGAAGATGAGTTAAAATCCAGAGCTCAGCCTCTAACAAACACAGATTTGGAGATAAAACAAGGTAAATTTATGTTTTGTCTTAATTAATAGCTAACATTACCTATTCCCACCAGCAGTGAATATCTCAGTCTATAATTTTGTAATCTTTTGGAAAGAAACCATCAAAAAGCCAGAATGAAGATCCAATTGTTTGCCTTACTGTCAGGAACTGGAAAGAATGAACTCAAGGATGTTGGGTTCTGAAGAGATTAAATTTTGTTTTGCTAGACAAGTAAATGGGAAACAGCTTTTGCTCAACAAGGAATGTAGACTTTTCAAGAATAACTGATTAAAATAGTGTTTGCCTTGAATTCTAGCAAAAGGGGTGATATGTATTAGCAATTGAAAGTAGTTCTCAAACCCTTGGAAAAGGGTACATATTTGGCAATTTAAAGAATTTTCAGTATTGTAGAAATTACCTTTGTCCTGCTAGTCTCCTCTGGCCTTTAGAGGTCTCAAATTTAAGACTCAGGGCCGGTAATTTAAAAAATTTTAGCCATTGTTTAATAAAGCAATGTTCTAAGCAATCTTCAGTTTAGCCAAATCATTTATCTGAACATTTGTTTTTGCGAACAGTCTCAAGAGGGCCAAAAGCTAAGAATGGAAGAACAATAATATTACTTAATTATATCAACCCTCTTGAGGAGAATCCCTTTGGACCACTGGTTGCGAAAAACCACAGTCTGAAATAGATCTTGTGTAAACAATAAAGCCCTCAAAGTCTGGAAAATGCCTCCAATTTTTTGTACAGAAATATGCACAAACCCATTTTTGGTAAAGCTCTGAAAAGGCCAATGTTTTTGTACCCAACAATGTTTGTTAGTATGCAGAGGTAATAACAAGTCCAAAAACAAAAACCTCATAAGTTTAGTGGCTCTATACTGCTTTCTGATTTTCAGGACGATGGTCAGGCTTTGACTCAATGGAGAGTGCCCTATTGAAGAATGAGCTTGTACAGAAAGAGGCCAGAACACCAAAGTAAATTAACCATTTTTATTTGTACTATATTTTTGTTAGTTTTTGTCAAGGCCTGATGGATTCACCACAATGCACTTTCTTGGGCTTGTGGTCTCTAGAGGAACTCTGCTATAAACTGCATGTGACCTTATTAACCTCTTTGACCATAAACTTTGCAAATATACTCTCCAACTTATAGGTACTCTCTCATGGAAAAAGGCCAGCCTCTTGCTGCAAGGTGCTCAGAATTTGATTATGCTGTCCAGAATCTAAGACAAGCAGCTTCTATTCCAACCATACCAGTAATAGCAGTGAGGTATATGTCTTTTGATGATGTCTTTGATTTAAGCAAACTTATCTGATCTGTTGAAAGAAACCTCCATTACTGATTAACTTAACAGATTATCAAAAGATAAATTTGGGAGCTGTTGCCTTACATGTAAGTGCAACAGTGTGGAGCTTTGTAGGTATTCATGGTAACCATGCAATACCGACCACATTGCATAGCCTCTCTGAACAAGGTGGTGAAATATCTGCACTGAACACCTTACTGACTTCTGTTATGGCTGGGATTGTTGGCTGCAAGATCCAACATCTAATTCAAGTGTGAATGAGAAATGGTCTGGAAAGATTGGCCCATGATGATTTATGAAAACAAGCAAAGTTCAATTAGGCAAACACATGTGCAAGCTCTTGAGGTCTTAGCTGCCACATTGCATAATGCCTGCTTGCATGGGATGGCAGGGCAGCCGTGCCAGTCAGCAAGCCTGGTCTTCATGTTAACTTTTCCCTCTTTAATTCACACCCTTAGGAAGTGACATTGGATTAATGTGGAGATTTATGTGAGGTTCTTTGAAGGAGGGTAACAATAATAGAAAAGTCACCAAAAGAATCAAACACACAAACACCTGGTTAGAAAGACTTGTCAGTAGTATTTGGTTATGTCAGTGTGTGAACTAGTGGAAAAATTACAGTGTATTAGTTTCCTATCATTTGCAGGCCAGTTTTCAGAAATCGCCAAGTGTGCTTGTTAGTTGATAGTGAAGAACCTTTGAGGGAACGCTTTGTCAGAGTGGTGCAACAGCGAGGAATGTCAGCCAAGACCAGAAAACTGCCTGTAGGTGATTTCCTATGGGTCTTACTACCCCCTGGAGTAAATCCTGATACAGTGAGAGACATGCCAGATCAGGAACTGGTATGTAGATATGTGGCAAATTTAATGCTAGAGATCTTTTTAGTTGATATTCATTTCTTTGTGTAAAAATGTGACTCACTAACCATGAGCAAGTGTGCTACAGCTTAAGTCTGTCGCTGCATGAGTTACCTGCATATTCTTCTGAATTGACATCAGAATGCAGTAACAACAAGTCATTTGGTTATGGTTCAATCATAAGAGGCACAAGTTAGTAAGAAAATCAATCATGTAACAACTTTACAGGTCCATTATAAGTTTTCTGTCTGGCAATGATCATGTAACTTCATGTAGCATCTATTTCTATGTCTTGAAAAAAAGACTTTTCTCTGTTTCTTACTAAAAATCCTTGCAACCTCAAGCTTTCCAGAGTCTTATGGTCATAGACAAATGGAAGTGGGAGGTTGATAACTGAAATCATTCTTGGTTCACATGCTGTGTCAAACTCAGAGTTCTGATTTAATGTTAATCAGCTTTCTGAGTTTAAAAATGTAAACCCCTCTGGGCATAAATTATCAACTGAAAGAAATAATTATTGGTTTTGAGGCACTTACATAATTTTCTGCAGGTTCTCCCCATGGTTGTAGAGAGGAAAACATGGGATGACTTGTGGTCCAGTCTTAAGTCCACAAGATTTCTTAACCAAGTCAACAGAATGAAGGTGACCTTTGTACAGATTGGCTAATGTATTTCTTGGACAGAATGTAAGGATGTGTAAAAAAAAGTTTTGCAGTTTTGAAAGAAATGTAGCTGGCAGTATCAAGAGAAAGCTGTTTTCAACTTTATTGGCTGCTCATTAAAGAGTTCCTTTATTTCTCTTAATTACTATATTGCATTGATGAATGTCAGGTTTTAAGTTTCTTATTTTCTTTCAGAAATGTGGCTTAGCAAATCTGTTCTATCTTGTGGAGGGTAGCCCTAGGGAACTGAAAGGAAATCCGGGTCCTGAAGTAGCAAGTTTCTTGCAGGTACACAGTGCCAATAACCTGGGTAGAATATATTAAAACAGTGCATAATCATTAAAATTTTTCAGTGGACCTGGTTGGATAAAAATATCCTTTATGTAATCCATATTTTTGGGAGTTGATATATTGTGTACGTCCCATAATTTCATTTGGAAGTAGGCTCCAGTCTTTTCCTTCAGTATTATGCAAAGTAAAATATATTTTCAAACTGGTAGAGCAATCCTTTTACCTGAGTGTTGAATTTTCAAGAATTCCAAGAAATTTTAGGTGGTAATTTGAGGTACTACAGGCACTAAACTTTATTGCTTACTGCCTGAAAAAGAGAAAACTGCAGCCCACTTAAAATGAGATTTTTCAGTTTTTTATAAATTATTTGAAGCAGTTTCCCTTTGAAAAATTCATTGATGCTTCTGTCACAAGTTGAGGGTGTACTTCACTTTAGGTGTCTAACTGTGGCAACCATATCATGGACACTTTTTCTGTAGGATTGCTCATACTTCTTTTGCTACAATGATTTTACCTTTAAGGATAAACTTGATAGTTTGCTGTTAGAGGAGCAGTTTCTTGTGAATCGTACTGGCTCATGGATGAAAAGTGTGGAATGGCTCTGCCATTTAACCAACATGACAATAGAATTCCTGCAGTCAGGTATGCAATACAAAACAATGTCTTTTCTTAATACAGCCTGGTTAAGTTTCATTCATATCTTGGTCAAGTGAAAAAACAAGATGCTTTTGTGATAAGATGTCTCAATAATGATGTTTAATGTTGGAAAATGAGGTAATGTTTCCATTTTCAGGGCAAGAAATCAATAAAATAGTTTTCTAAGAACCTTTTATGGATCCTATTTTACAGATGGAAGTCCCAAGTTGAAGACATACAGTGAATTTTCAAGAGGAAGAAAACTGCGGAGAAACTCAGCTAACCTTGATGCAGCACCTGTGAATCCAGGTACATGCAGGTTCCCTCTGAAAGCTTATGATTATTCTTCACTAATCAAAAAGGAAAAGAAATTTGAGAAATGTGCATACATGTAGAAAAAAGTATTCAAGATGTTTGAAAGGTATTTTAATTAGAAAATGAGTGACTCAGAAAATTTTGTTCTCAGTTAGGAAGACTTTTTCATGAAAAACTCCCTTTTAAATTATAGCAGTGCTTGTCATTTGACCTCATACAAGTTAATAAAACCAACTTATAAATGTGCATGGAATATATATACAGACAATTTGTCAGGGAAGCCAGATGAACTTCTGGTGGTCACCTTGTGGTGGACTGTCATCCTATCTAAGTGGGAGTAATTAATACTCCCAATCACTTCATAAATTGGTCTGGCCCAGTTGTTTGAAAGCCAATTAGCACTAACCCAAGGTTAAATTTTAATCCAGGTTTCTATATTAATTTGTACAAAAGGCTTTTGGGGATAATTTTTGCTATTCTTTTTAGAGCATCCAATAATCGAATTCTAGACAAAAAGGATAATACTGATTTTTTTGTTAAATACACCTTCACATCTGAAATCAGATCTCACATTAACCCCGGGTTATCTCAATCCAGCTTTGAACAAGAGGACTTTAATTTACAACAATACAACATCTGTACAAGCTAGAAAGAATTTGTTTTTATTAGGAGATTCATTCATGCTGTCATTTTGTCCATAGTGGCTGCATCTGTCTGGTCAGCATCAGAGTTCACTGACATTATAAGGAGGTAATCACTAAATTACACTTAAGTTAATCTATGTTAATTTGAAATTTGTTTTGAAGGTTTAAAGCAGTCACCTGGTTATTGCAACTTGTTTCCTTGCCAGTTTATGGCTTCATTTTTTTGTAATGTGTGAAGTAAATCAAGATATGAATAAAAGAGCACATTTTAAATGACATTATGACCCCTTTTCCCTTTAATTTGAATTACTATCTGCTGTTAATGTAAAAAATGGTAATGATTTGAGTTGAAATATGGAAGATGTTGTAGTCATGTAGATTGACCACAGCTGCTTAGTTTTATAAACTTGTTCATCCTACGTTTATGTCATCATCATTACTTCTTTGGAAGTTGATTTGAAATACTACAAGTTACAAAAATCATGAAATTTCAAATTATGAGAATTCCAGGTTGGACTTGGTTGGGACTGTAAAATCCTATAGTCACATAATATTCATATATTCCAACATTTGTTTAATAATTGGTTCATTTTCCTATGTTACATTTAGCCATAGCAATGGTGGGATGGAGCTTCATAGTTTACCTGTCAGTGGTGGAAATGGTTTACAGGAAGAAAGATCTTTGATTGTGATTCAAGGCCTTACTGTTTATAACAAGGTAAGTCTTTTCAACCAATGCAATAAAATGAAGAGTATTTGTCAACTAGTAACTGGGAGAAGAGAAAGGAAAAGAGCTGTCACGTTTGACATGTACCACTTCTTCATGCAAAAAACTTTTTTTTTTGTATTGATCAATTTGTCTGTCAAAGTATGGAAGATCAAAGTTATAGTAGAGTATTCCATAAGAACCTTTTCTCTAACTTAGTAAGGACAAGAAGTCACAGGATGTTATTTGCTCAACAGCCATATTAATTGTAACATTTTTATATGAACTGATTCTATCCTCTTGTGGATACAATTTAGCAATGTCACAGGGTACTAGACAAAGCCTTGGCTGATCTTCTGGACGACATGCATCAAACTGCCGAAGGTAATTCCTTTGTTATTCATCTCTTGATCATGTTTTGAGTTTGTAGGCATTATTTTATACTTAAAAGATTGGAATTTCCAATTTCTAAAACTACCATTTTGCTCCCTCAGCTTGCATTCAAAAACATCTTCAAGGTATCACTGACCAGCTTGTTCATGAAGATGTTCCACAGTGGTACATTCTTTGGTTACAGGTTAGCATTCCATAAATAAAATGACAGTATTAAGAATATGTAGTGAACCCCTTCACTCCTAAGAGTGAGTGATCAAGAAGAAGTTTCTCTGAGCCATATTTTACACACCATTAGCAAACAGGAAATTAGAATAATAAAAAATATTAAGAAGGATATCCTTTTTGATTTTGACACCAAATTTTCAGAACTAACATTATAATAAATTTGTGGGAGACAGTTAGGTGAATTGCTATTCATATCTTTGGAGTGAAAGGGATAAAATATTTGTTGTAAGTACAATCAAACATCTTGTAAGTAGGCACCCTCTTTACCAGGAAGAGTGGCAGCTTTAGGGTAGATCTTCATTGTTGGGGCATGCATTATACTTGCCTTAGCATGAAGAAAACAATTTATAGAAACAGTTCATAGATAGCTTGAATGTTGAAAGCTGGAAATGATAGTAATGCATCTTACAGGAAATAATTCAAATTTTGCTTTTTATTTGCATTCCTTAACCATTTTACACCCTAACATCAGTATGCACATTCTCCATACCATCTTCTATACATTTCCTAAGATGCTGACAAGGAGAATTTTTTTAACAATCAAGGGCTTCTTTAGTTGGTGATCATCTCTGTTATTCTCATGATCTCAAATGAATGATTCAGTGGTATAATTGTCAGGAGAAACTAAATGCTGGTCACTAAGGTAATTTACTGTGCATTTAGGTTTTTAAAGGAGCAATAGTGCGAAGAACAGAGACAGCAGAGGAAACAGCAGAAATTTTGAGCAAGTTTTATCAAATGTCAGGAGGTAGGATGAACTGTTAGCAAATGATCAACATGGTGCAATTTGATTGCAGCTTGTTAGAATATAAGGAGTTTTCTTTACTGGTGTGTCTTGATCAATATCACTCTGTTTCCTGAGACAATAGCCTTCAGGTAACCTGGGAATTTTTTGAGAGATCTAGACCAATCCAAAGCTAATGGTAGGACCTAACACAGGAAATGCAGTAAAGATGATGAAAATAGCCAAATAGTTTTGAGTTATTCATTTCAGGTGTGGCAGATGTGCCCCTGTCTACTCACAATGATGTCAATGTTGACAATGGTGCTCAGTTTGGGACTCAACCAGAGGAAAGGTACCAAGTTGACTATCATCAATATAATGGCTAGTTAGTAACAGTGGCTTCATAAGGGAACCACAACAGCTTGCTATAGTTATAATAATGAGGATTGGAAGGTACCAGTGACCACTTTTGAAACTGCTTAAAAACACCTGTCAAGCTTCATACAACTCCCCTTGTAAGCACTGCAGAATCATTTGGCCACATCACCAGATGAGTACCAGAAGTATTAATGTATAGCAGACAAAACATCTCAAATTTCAATAATTTAACTTAAAGAGCAAACATTCATATCATATCAGTTTGACCATGATGAACAAAACTTCTTTTGTTTCTACAATGTTCTTGTATGTGTACCATGCTTCCAAATTGGGCCAAAAATCTCCCTTTTTGGATATGAACTAGGTTTAACTGATGTCAGTTAAGAACAGTTGCAGTACTCAGTTGGACTCTTTTTACATTACCAAGACTGCTGGATTGAAACACATATATACACATGAATGTACTGTATATTAATTCACCTATTTGAGGAACATTGACTGTGGATATGTGAAAATCATATATGTGAACATAGAAACAGAAATAAATATATGAAAGCGATCTTTGTAGTTATGAACACTTCTTAAGCAGTAGTGAAAATAGGGCCTGAAAAAAAAATCAGGCCTTATTTTCATTACTGTTTAAGAAGTGTCCATTACTGCGAAGATCGCCGTCATATTCATTAAAACACTGACACACAGTTAAGTATATATATATAGAGAACTTGTTTTCAGAGTATGGTAAGAGTTATTTCTTTTTGTTATTCATCATATAAGAAGCAAATATAGTAGTTTTTCTTTAATACTTTTACAATAGTCCGGTATTTAAAACTTGTTTAAATTTTTTATTCCATTGCTAGTCCACAAGGGGATGAACTTGTGTTTGCTAGTGATTCACAAGAGGAAAATGCAATGATTCGTCAGGTTTGATAGAGATGTTTTCCTTAACGTTTTGTTTAATATGTTTCTTTTTCCTTTTTCTGTGATTTAATTTGAAAGCGATAGACAATTGATAATCACTGTATCACACATGCTCATTTCACTCTCCTACTGTTTTGACCTGCCTGTCATCATTCTTTGTCATTTTTATTTCTTGCTAGATTTTTTTTTGTTAATCAAGCTTAGTTGTCTCTGTAGGCTTTGCAAGCATCACAATATCAAAACAAGGTTGATGAGGTGCGTAACATTTACGTTATTGATTTCGAGGTGCTTCTTTGTAGTTTTATCCCTATATAGCTAAAATAAAATGGGGCTCTAATTTTATTCAGGTTGTTATATAGACAGTATATTGTTATCAGTAACAAGAGGGTTCAAACTTAGATATCCTTGACTTCACCCCGCTGATGGTCTATACTTTTGTTTTACTTTCTTGTTACCAATTGAAATGAACTCAGACATTTTTATGATTGAAAGGCTACGATTAATTTCTATTTCTCAAATTCACTCTTTTCATGTTGTGTAATGTCTTCGACTCGTTTTCAGATCAGACCACCAGCAGTTCAACCGTTCATTCCTTCCAGTTCAGTTGGTGAACTTCAGAAATATTCCCTAGAATCTATGAATGAAAGAGAACAACTGTTGCTGGCTATGAATCTTAGCAAAGTAGAATATGATGCTGAAAGATCTTACGAAGACATCAATCCTGACCAATCTGATAAAATGAGTGAAAGAAGTTTCATATCAGATAAGAACACTCCTAGCAAACCAAGAACTAAGATGGATGTCTTCAAGCCAACATGCACTACTGTTTCTGGTGACAAGGATAACACTGCACATGATGAGCTTGAGAGAGCACTTAAACAAAGTTTGGAAGAGTTTGAAAACCTAAAGAAAATTCAGGAAGAAAAGAGGAAGATGTTGGATGCCGACAGGGACTTGCAGAAAGCTTTGGAACTGAGCAGATTGGAGTATACTCAATCACAGACCAGTAGCACGTGTGACGGACTGAAAGAAAAGCAAATTGATGATGGCAGCTGTTTGTCAGACGGAGATAGAGAGTTACAAAGAGCATTGGAATTTAGTAAGCTGGAGGCTCACGCTGTCAGAAGGGATTATTATATCGGCATAGTGGAAAAAGCCTGTAATGGAGAGGAAAAACAATCAAGGGACAGTGAAGGAATGAACTTTGTGGAAAGTGACCTCCAAAAAGCCTTAGAACTGAGCAAAGTGGAATTTGAACAAGAGAAAACAAAGGTTTCAATGACTTTGAGTGCTGGAAGTCGATCGAAGGAGAAATCCATTTTGGAAAGCAAAGAACCAGAGAGCGAGTCTTTGTCCAGCAACGAGGGTGACGTCGCCAAAGCCTTAGAAGTAAGCAGAAATGATTGTAACAAAGTTGCAGAACACCGAGGTGATGGAGTGTTAGACAAGGAAGAGCAGTACATCACAGAAAAGTGTACTATGAACGACTTACAAGGAGAGAAGGATGTAGAAAAGGTATTGATACAAAGTTTTGATGGAAACAGAGGACATTCCAGTGACAGTGATTTTCACAGGGTCTCAGAGTTGAGCAGAAACGAGTATCCAAAATCCACAAATTCTTCTTGGGATGAGAAAGATAAACGCACTGATGCTGAAGTTGTGGTACAAGGATCAAATGCTGCATTGGTGCAGTCAAGGGAAAGACTTGAGCCTGATCAAAACGCAAAGTGTTCAACACCAATCAAGGAGTGTGTTGCTAATAGTGATGTTGTTCCTTCTAGTGTACCCTCAGAATTATTTTCACAACATGATAATCATGGTACTTTTCCTGCACTGGGACACTCCACGCCAGCAGGTAGTGCCAAGTGTTCTGCAATCCTGTTGGACTCTCAGGAATTAGATGATGAGAGTATGGATGCATTAGAACTTCAGATTAAAGAAGTCTCTGAAACAGAAAAGAAACATTTATGTCCTGTAGAGGAAGAAAGAAGTGTTGATGATGACTATGCATATGCATTAAAACTTCAAAAGGAGCTCAACAGTGATGTAAAAGGCTCTTATGGCCATGCCAGGAAAAGCAAGACTTCAGTAGCAGCTGCTGAAGTCGAAGATCAACTCAAAATTTATCGAGAGACACAGAAAGAAAAATTTGTCACATGCGCTGGAAGGGGAGATAAATCCTCGCGTGGGCTTGATTTCAGGAGAAATGTGGCTGCAATTGCCTGTGGTAAACCATTGCAAATTGGTGTTGCCAATCCTATAAGTAGATCAGAACTTTCTCAGAAGAAGCAGGATTCACCCAAGGACCTTAGTGATATTTCCTCACCTCGAAAACGAATTCGAAGAGATGGAAAAAACTTAGATTATTCACCCAAGAAACCAGGCTTTCATAGAGAGGATGTGTTTGTTATCAGGTGAGAGGAAAGATCAGAGAAGAGCATTGTGATTCCCGTAATTTTTCTCTGTTTGTTTGTTTGTATTTTCTTTTTTTTTTGACATGAGCCACCCAATTTCTTACAATTTAAAAGTGTTGAAAAGTATCCAGAAGAGAAAAGTATTCTTTAATGGGTAGTGGGTATTGGTAATTATTTGGTCATAGTTTTTTCACAAGCCCATCAATAACGACTTCAATTTGGGGAAACAAGTAAAGTATGTGTATTTGCGTTGATGTTTTAGGGATGATGATGATGAAGAACCTAAACCAGCTGGTTCAAGTGGCTTTCCTGTTTCTCCAAGGCCATCCCCATCAGGTTCAAGGTACAATAGGTCTTATTTTTCTCGTAGAGACGGTTGAAAGAACAAATTAAAACAAAAACAAAAACAACAAAAACGTGCATTTGATCGTTTAAAAAACCTTGATGAAGAAATATTTCAGGGTTGTCATTAGAAAAAGTAATAAATGTTTGATATGAATTGAGCAGGCGGCTGAATTGAATTATGCTTGCATAGGAAGCATGGCGTATTGCTACACGGGTCCCGGGTCATGCTCCTTGGAGAACTTTGAAATTTGAAAATCACTGGGACGAGATTTCCAACATTCTGGGACTTATTTGAGCAACTTTATTCGTCCAGACATTGAAGTTATTATCATTTAAAAACAAACTTATATTCTGTCTTTGATCACCACTCACTAAGTAGCCGGCGCAGAATGGCCTGACAGCCACCGGATTTGCACCGCTACCAGCTTCCAGTGATAACCCTGCCTTTAAAGTGTTTTGTGACTCCCCTTGAAATGCATCTTCAAATCTTCTTAGAATGTGAATCTTGATATTTCTTCTTGATACAAGTATGTTTGATTACACCCCAAAGTTAGATATTGTCTTACAAAAACACAGTGGTTAGACTAAATTTTTTTTGCAGCACTTTCGAAAGAGTTCATCCACGTCTTCCCTCTCTTTCAGGTCCTATGGTAAGTGAAATTAATTAAAGTTCGTTGCATTGTCACTAATGTGTGGAAAAAACAAACAAACAGAAAAAAACAAAACAAGCAAAGCAAGAATCGTCATCATCAGTGATTGAGCCAAATTTTATTCATACCATATTGACGTCACATGTGATCTATTACTAAGCAGAAACATGGCAACGAGGAATCTATTCGTCAATTTGAATTAACTTTTTTTCAGCATTCCCCCTCTCATCCACCTTGTGGGCCAAAAGATTCATCTATTATAAATCATGTATCAAGCAGCAGTGATAAGCCAATAGGACCGAAGTGTAGCTCTTGTGGAACAGTTGGACATAACAAGAATTCAAAAGTATGCCCTAATTACTATTCAGAAGAAGCTGTTCAGCGGAGAGAGGTATGGTACACTCAGCTGATTTAAAGGGGGCAAGTTTCTAAAGAAACTGTGGTGTTTCTTTGGTCGGAGAGTATAACAGTATAACAGTATAATTAAGTATTATCAACTGAGCTGATAGCATAAATTGGACACCGTAAAGAGTTTAAAAGGTGACGTTTAGAGCGTTAGCCCTTCGTCACAGCCCTTCTCCTAAGGGCTAACGCTCGAAACGTCAGTTTTAAAACTCTTTTCAGCTGATTTAATGTTGATAAGCAGTCTCAATAGACCAATTCCAAACATTTCATTGTTGTTTAATTGTGTTTGTATGTCTGAAAGCTCAGTTGTGCAATTTTTAAACATGGGCTGAAAAGGTCAAAATGTCGATTCTCATTCAATGTCAAGCACTCCCTGATGTTGATTTTCCAAACATGTGCACGTGTTTGATCAGTTTGTGGCCTCCGCTTATACTTAAACAAACAGGAATTTAAAGTTTCCTTAACCCTTGAAATCCCAGAATCCAATTGTTAGTTCTCCCCTCTCGCTGCTATAAATTTACTTTTAAATTAGTCATGAGAATTTGGCGGTAGATCAAGATAAAAAATTCTACCTAATAAGTTTGAGAATTTTCATTACTTGTTTGCAGGATGATAATGCGTGGATATTATCGAGAGGAGCTAATTGCTAATCACTTCTAGGAGTTTTAGGGTTAAGGTGCTTTTTCAGCACGAGAAGGAGACTGTTTGATTTGTTATCTTGACAGGAACAATCAAGGAAGAGAAAAGCAAAGAGAGAGGAAGAAGAAAGAGAGTTTAATGATCGCTTGGGTGCATTGGTATGTCGGATTATATCATTCATAAACTGTTCTGAACTTGAACATGAGTATACGGTTTAAAAAACTAAACAGAGCTTGAGCCAAAGCGTCCTTCCTGCTGGAGTTTTTTAGGGTTCCTGGAACATGAGACAATTAGTCTATATTAATTATTATAATAAGTATATCTATCTTATTAGAGGTTTTGGTGTGTAGTACCTTTGAGTATTTTTAGCGAGTTGTGCGGTATTTTGACTCGACCTACGGGCTCGTCAAGAGGCAAACAACGAGTAAGACTACTCACTCATACTACACACCAGAACTTCTAATGATGTACTTATTATCCAACCTCTTTATATCATATGAATTTCTCGTAAGGCGGGAAAAGCGAATCAAATGGAGAAGCGTGGCACGCGTAGCCGACCGGTTAAACAGATTTTTGAGAGTTCAAAATAACTAACCGTCCGAATATCGCGTGATATCTGTACTCAATTCGCGCGTGGTACTCTACTTACTCAACCGAGCAATTTTTGATTGATACAATCTTTGATTTGTAGTATGACATCATTATCCCCTTCAGCTTTCAGATCTTGTCTTCTGTGACAGTGTCTAATAATTGTTCTATCAGCTCTTTTTTGTTTTGTTTTGTTTTATTATTTATTTTTTATTTTTTCAGGCTGCTCAAAGATTGGCAATAGAGGATCGATCAAGAGCATTAGGTGAACAGCTGGATGAGCTTAGAAGACAGTCGCAAAACATGGCTAACACCCAAAAGATGGTTGAAGATGCAATTAAAAAAAAGAGAAAGCGATAGTAAATTAAAAAAAAAAGACATGGAAAAACTAAGTCAAAGGAAACCATTTTTAGAGTGCTACGGAGCTTCTGTTTCCTGAATGTTATAATTACGGTGATGGTTGTTGTAACAGGTTTATAAGTGAGCATATGCCATGCTTCAAATTGGGATAATTTTTTCGTGTAATAGTTCATTTGTTGAACTTGGTGGGACATTGTTTTTTTGGTAATATTTTAATGAAATTGTACATAATGTAAGACCCTGAATTCAGAATTGAGGAAGGAAAGTTCAAGTTTGATCTTGGGATATTTCATTGGTTTACATTTATTATGGTTTTTACTTTTAAATAGGATTTGAAAAATATAGATTGAAGAATATTTTTAGATGAAAATTGAAATATTTTATATCCTCGTATAGCGTACACGTATGTAGATGAAGGTAAAAAATTGCTGTAGAAAAAAACAGCTACTTTGATAACTCACATGCAACTTACCTGTGCAGTACTCATGTAAACGCTTCATACATGTATCACTGGAAGAAAAAGGAGGCTAAATTCCTCCAAAAGTAAAATTTGAAAAAGAGACTGTTGAAAATATTAATAACATTTTACTGTAATTTGTTTTATACCTATTTTTGTAACAATCTTTGTTTTATCATTTGGTCATTATATGTTCCTGTTGATGTTGAAGTTTGAGTTGCCGTGTTTTATTCAAGTGCAGCCTTTGTTTTGTTGCAACAATAAATGTTTTGAGAATAAACTAGAGGGTAGTCTCACTCGTAGCCGTTGTCTGATCTTGCCACGTGCGCTCTCTCCGGTGTTGGGGGAGGGAGCCCGTTGCGGAGGGCCGCCATGTTGTTTATTATATTCAAGATGTTAATGAAAATGACGTCTGTTGGTCCTCATCTGTTTCTGAATGTCGCCCAGTAGTTAAAAAAAAACATCAAAGTAATTGCGTAAATGTAGATATCTTTTCTAGAAATTCAAATTAAATTGGGTTTATAAATACGTCCAGTCCCTGCCAAAGATCATTCAACTATTATAATTTTAACATCTCCTGTCCAACCGTACTGACAATTGACTTAAGCAGCATCTACCGATAATTCCCTCTGCAGTCCTTTTAAGACGGTTCTTGGTATCATACGCTTCCTTTATTCTTGACCGGAAACGCTCGATTGATCGCAGTTAAACAAACTTCTACACCCTCCCCCGTTTTACAATGTTTGAATTAGAGACCAAAGTAGCTTGGCCTTGTGATAGGGCATTTTCCTTGCTCTTTTTCTCTTTGAAACGCCTTGCTGAGAGATTATAATTATTTTCTCTCAAAAAAATGCAATCAAAAAGGGTTAAATTCACGAGGAAAGTGTAGAAAGTAATGTTAAGTGGTTAAATCATTCTTAGGATTTCCTTTTGATAACACAAGCAAATGTAGGGCGAGCAAAAATTATAGATAACGTGTAAAATTTAAAAATAAATCTTGTTTACACACAACTGTTTCTCTTTTTAGACTTAACTATTTGTTGATCGGTATTTTGATGATACTTTACTGCTTGAAGATATGGGCATTCAGCCTTCTATAAGTTACAATTCCTCGTTATTGACTCATTTTCTCTTTAACTATTTTTATTTTTTTAACTGTGGTGTACAGGAATAGTACGTGAAATTCCAGAGTTAAAAAAGTTGTCTACCCTTTCTTTAGTGGCTTTCTTTATGTTCCTGTGGAATGTATTTTTCGTGACTCGTCAAGCGATGTCGGCCTAGAGTTTGCATTTGCAACACCAGTTTATCCCTTTACCAGTTTTTCTTTCTTTTAGACACCGTTATACACAAATCGAACAATTGCTTGATAACTGGCGTGTAACATTGTGCAAATACACCTGCTTAAAGAGTCTTTGAGAAATGTCTAAATCGTCGAGTTTAACGAGCCCCGGCAAACGAGGCCGTCCGCCATTACGAAATATGCTAATGTTCCTCGTTTAAATCGCTTATATCTGTTCTTTGCATTCTCCATTTCCTTTATTCTTCACCGGAAACGCTCGATTGCACTCTCATTTGGACAAACGTCCTCACCCTACCCCCCAACCCGGTATTTGAAAACTCTCCATACCTACAATTGATAATAATTAATGATGCATATTCAAGATGGTCGACTGGTAATCGTGAGCGCGCATCGAGTGCAAGTGAGGTCATCGAGGTCGCGGGTTCGAATCACGCTATAGGAGTTATTCTTAATCTGGCTTGGGGGCCGAATAACTTCTCCCCGAGTGTGAATTGGAGCTGGCGAACAAGGAGTAACTCTCAAACTGGCTTGGGGGCCGAGTAACTTCTCCCCGTGGAATTTGCGTTTTGTTTTTGTTGTCTTTTTTATTTTTCCCCTCTTTATCATCATTTTATGTCTTCCTTTTTTCCTTCTATTTCTGAGCAGTTATATTCTTGGGTCACTCTGATATTTTTCGAATACGGTCTTGGTATTTAATATAATTAGAATGGTTAAATTGATGAGCAAATGCAGAAAGTCATGTTAAATAATTAAAATATCATATAATTTCCTTTTGATAACACAAGCAAATGTAGGGTGAGCTGATAGATCATAATAACGCATAAAATTTAGAAACAGATCTTCTATACGGTATTTTGATGACAATTTACTACTTCTTGTGTAGGGCACTCAGCCTCCTACAAGTGATATTTTATTTTGAAGATTTCATCAAAAAAACAATTTGAACACCAAAAAGAAGATGGTTAATGACATAAACCTAATTTTTTGTCCACCATATGGAAACAAGTGGAATTAACAGCAAAACAATAGAAAACCTAACTGCGTCCGAACTTGACCTCCATTTGTCAAAGTAACTTTTTATGAACGCACGAGGAAAATGGGGACAAGTACGAACCTTCCACAATTTCCAGTTTTCAGCGCAGTATCCAGGATAGTGATGCCCATATGAGAAGAGATATCTGTTTGAAAAATCCAGAAGGCTACTTCCTGAGAAACGTAAGTCACTGGTTCAACAGCATGGCAAAGGAAACAAGCTGCAAGGTACTCAGGCGATTGACGAAAGTGAGGAAGATGCTCGTTTTTAAGCTGGATAATTATGCGACTCCAGTATAGTTACACTTCAGAAAACAGTATGGTGGTATTTGTCCCTATATTTCGGTTTCCAGTTCAGAGATGAAAGCTGTAAATTACTCTGAGGAGACGTTCAACTTCAACAACAGGATGATGGCCAAGATATCTTGGTTTGGTTAGCCGATCGAGATACGGTCAGGAACAAGGACACCAAAGAGCACACCAGCCTAAGCTTTATGCCACCAATACTAGAGATGTCCAGTCAGCTTCTCCAAGAAATCCCGCTGTCATCGGCCGGTGGAGATGAATACACCAGAGTAACTGTTTCACCTGGCGGCCCGCTATATTGGTGCTCAAATGACGAAGTTTGGTATATGAAGGCAATCCTCAGTAAAAATGCGATGAGAAAGTTTTTCTCCACAGCTGCGAAGAATCCTGGGCTTCAGCTTTAAGGAAACAGGGTGACTAATCCTTCTGTCAGGAAAACCTGTATTTCAAGGCTCCTTGATGCAGATATTCTGGAAAACTTTCCGGCTGGCGCAACTGAGGGAGAGTTTGGAAAAAGAGTTTACAA